TTGAGAGACTCCATTCAGTTTTGCCGGTTTCTCAAGGTTGTCGCTACCAACACACTCTGTCCTCCACTCCTCTGACTCTCTCAATTTGGTTTATCTCTTGGTTCCTACTGAAAATTGTGGACCCCAGTGGCATTCATTGGATCATGGTTTCCAAAACTGGATTTTCCATAAAATTGTAGACCCCAGTTAACCACTTGGTTCCTACAGAAAAATGGAGAACCGGTCAGGTGGCCGGTTCCGGTTATCCCCAAAACTGTATTTTCCATACAAACCATTGATTTTGGTCAGCAAACTGTTTTCCCAAGTGGTTAACTGTTCGAACCGTTCGAACGGTTTTGACCAGTTTTCATTTTTTTAAAACTTTTTTTTTTGTCATAACGGGCCAACCACCCCTGACTAGTTCAGTCTCTGGGTCGGTTTTAAAAACCATGCATTGGATGGTCCACCAATTATTCAAAATAATGATATATATTATATGGTTCCAATTGTTCATCAATGTAGGTGCATGTGATCTGATGAGGGTGGATTTGGCCCTCCAATGACATCGTGACACGTGGCATCTCAGAACAACTAGGTGACACCCAGAACCACTTAGGCAATAGCTTAGCCAAGATGATGGTGTCCTGACTTGGCGACCTGGCACAGGCGCTGACCTGGCGACCTGGTGACCTGGCACAGGCGCCGACTTGGCAACCTGGCACTGACACCGACCTGGCGACTAGCCTTTATGCCGAACTAGTGACCTCGACCACAACTCAGGGCAGCTAGAAGCACCTCGTCCAGGGCTGACCTGCAACACCTCGTCACTAGCCGAAGTGACCTCAACGCAAGGAGCGACCTCCCTCGAGGGTGTGCCATCCTGACTGAGGTCTAGGTGGTGACCTACGAGAGGTGCTTGCTGACAAATTCAGCACGCATATCCCAACACTCCCACGATCCTTGGAAGTTGGCCCACACATCGAACATTCCGGAGGGTGGTCAACATGCATGGCGGTTGCCTCCGGGAATCTCAAACCACTTAGACGACCTCGCAGAAATCTCAGACACGGTGCGTGAAGCCCACGCCAAACAATGCCTATATAAAGGCACCAACCCCAATGACATGGAGGGGGGGGGGCAAGTAAGCATATTGTAGCTCTCGTACTTTGTGATTTTTAGCTCGCGGTCTACTATGAGAGTACTGACTTAAGCATCGGATCGACCTTGTCGGGTTAGCCACCCCAGGTCCTCTGACATTGATTCCTTGTAGGTCTCTAAAGAACGACGAAGCTCAACAATCAATCCAGCTCGCCACCAGGCAGCTCGGCCCTCTGGTAAGCTCGACACTCTGGTCAGCTCGACACCTAATAGACAGCTCGACACTCTAGTCAGCTCGGCACCTAATAGGTAGCTCGGCACTCTAGTCAGCTCGGCACCTAATAGGTAGCTTGGCACTCTAGTCAGCTTGGCACCTAATAGGCAGCTTGGCACTCTAGTCAGCTCGTCACCTAATCTGCCTAGCTCGGCCCAGTCAGTTCGGCACCTAACCTGCCCAGCTCGGCCCAGTTAACTCGACACCAAATCTGCCCCCAGCTTAGACCAAATGACGAGGTACTTAGCACAAAAAATTGATACATCACCAAAAATTGATTCATATATTGGCATCGTCTGTGCGAAACACTACAAAATGCTAAGTTCTCATCCTCTAAAAGGCCAAGTCCTCTTCTTCCAGAAAGCTAAGTTCTCACCTTTTAGAAACTAAAAGCTGTCACTTTCTAGTTTCCATTTTTATGAACTCAAAGACTATGCAGGAAGTTGATGGCCAACAGACTAAGCAACTTTGCCGATTTTATTTCAACTCGGATAAAGCCTCATCAGTCCTCTTCACGAGGTATCCTCTACAAGATGAGCTCTTCGTGGCTTCCGCGGGAGTAGGCGGCCAACAGACTGCATGGATGCCCCTGCCGGTCGAGCCTTCCAAGGCTCCCGTGCGAGCTGGTAACCTAAAGTCAGTAGTGCTGCCCCTGTAGGTCAAGCTCCTAGTAGCTTCTTGTAGGAATGGGTAACCGACGTTACTAACGAGGCTGATGCAGCGTAGCCGTAGCTCTAAGATGCCAAGCTTATAAAAGACCTCGACACCACATAGGACGCAGTCACCTCTTCGGCATGGGCAAAATCAAAGATCAAGGAGAGTGGACTACGAGTCGCTCCTAGAGCCTAAGGGCTAAAGTGCCGAACTGGCAAAGATTTCGGCACCACATAAGGCCCAGTCGCCTCTTCGGTATGGGCAAAGTTAAGGGTAAGGAAAGTGGATTGCGAGTCGCTCCCAGAGCCTAAGAATTGTACCGACGCTTACGAGCTCATCAAATTATTCATTCCAAGCAAAAAGGAGCAATCTACTCCCTTCACCGAGTTACTTTCAGCTCGGCCGTAGGGGCATTGATGAGGGTGGATTTGGTCCTCCAATGACATCGTGACACGTGGCATCTCGGAACAACTAGGTGACACCCAGAACCACTTAGGCAACAACTTAGCTAAGATGATGGTGTCCCGAACTGGCGATCCAGTATAGGCGCCGACCTGGCGACCTGGCACTGACACCGACCTGGCGACTTGGCACAGGCGCCAAACTGGCGACCTGGCGACCAGCCTTTATGTTGAACTAGCGACCTCGACCACAACTCAGGTCGACTAGAAGCACCTCGTCCAGGGCTGACTTGCAGCACCTCGTCACTAGCCGAAGTGACCTCAACGCAAGGAGCGACCTCCCTCGGGGGTGTGCCGGCCTGACTGAGATCTAGGTGGCGACCTACAAGATGTGCTCGCCGACAAATTCGGCATGCATATCCCAACGTGCATGGCGGGGAATCTTGAACCACATAGACGACCTCGTGGAAATCTCGGATATGATGCGTGAAGCCCACGCCAAACAATGCCTATATAAAGGCACCAACCCCATTGGCATGGGGGGGGGGCAAGTAAGCATATTGTAGCTCTCATACTTTGTGATTTTTAGCTCGTAGTCTACTATGAGAGTACTGATTTAAGCATCGGAGTGACCTCACCGGGTTAGCCACCCCGAGTCCTTTGACATTGATTCCTTGCAGGTCTCTAAAGAATGACGAAGCTCAACAATCAATCCAGCTTGCCACCAGGCAGCTCGGCACTCTGGTCAACTCGGCACCTAACCTGCCTAGCTCGGCCCAGTCAGCTCGTCACCTAACCTACCTAGCTCGGCCCAGTCAGTTCGGCACCTAACCTGCCCAGCTTGGCCCAATTAACTCGGCACCTAATCTGTTCCCCGCTCAGACCAAATGACGAGGTACTTAGCACAAAAAATTATACATCACCCAAAATTGATTGATCATGATCTGTTACTCAAAAATAGAGATGGATTCTTACCATCTTGTGTAGCCCCACTTGGTTTTTATCAAAAAAAAAAAATCGTAGGAATAGAGCCAATTGACCAAAAATAGCAGAAGCTAAATTACTTAAGCTTGGACTTGTAATGGCTATTGTTATATGATTGTCATCAACTTCCGGTCTTGGGTACCACTCCGACTTGACCCAAAAATAGAGAACAAATGAAGCATTGTTGTCTTCTTTACCTAAAACAGAGTGATGAATCGAGTTAAACCTTCCCTAGTCATTTCTTCCTATGGGGTGGAGCCCCTCTTAAACCTTTTCACCCCATTAAATCTTATAGGATCGTTACCTCCAATGAAGCGAAGACCCCACTTTTTTTTCCTGTTAAAATCAGAGGGAAAGCAATCACTTGGTTGTAGGTTGTAGAGCTTAATGGCAGTGAAAGAAAACGTCCGTATAGTAGTGTTAGGTAGCGTTCGTGAAGGGTTAATATGATCCCTTGAACAAAGTGTAAAACTGTATGTAATGAACATACCTAGTTGAACATAGAAACCAAGTTACTATATTAGAAAATCCTTAGTCTGCTCTCTGTTCTCTACTGATGAATGAACAGAAGCTTGAAAAGCTACTCTCTGTTCTCTATTCATGAATGGATATAAGCATGTAGAAACCTCAGTTTGCTCTTTATTATAGGTTGAACAACTATTTTCCTTTCCTTGAGACATTTTGGAGTAGCCCAAAATCCCAAGACCCAGCATTATACCAGCAGCTATGGACCATTGTATATGTACAATCTCCTGATTCTACAAAGAAATCTTCCCAATTATATTTCGATCTAAAAATTAATTATTTTATAAATCAATGGGTGTCCTCTATTCTTATAGTAATTCAGTCAACTACTGTAGTAACATGTTTTTATTCCAAGTTTGATTTTAAACATACCTGTAAAGTGATTTCTAAAAGTTAATGAACTTTTGTTTCAGAAAATAATACTAAAATAAAATAAAAAAATTAAAATATTTGTTTTCTCATGAGGCGTAGGGTAGCCCATGCCATAACCATAACCTCCAACCTTCGTGATAACAGGATTTTATCTCAAAGTATTTATTTATTTTTTGATAGAAAGGAAGAGACAACGAAGGACTACACAACCTTGGTGACAACAGGATTTGAACCCAAGTCTTTATTACTACCTACTGAGCCACCATCTATTGGTAAAAATTAAAATAAATTGGATCGGAGTTCAATCCATACCCTTTGACATATATATGCACATACTAAAACACGAAACCAGCAATCCAAAGACCGAGTCCTACCGAGAGACGAAAGTTACCGCCTTTGAAAGTTTGAATTAACTTTGTAGTGTTAAAAAAATAAGAACCTTTCTTCTTCACTTCCACACTTGTTTATAATAAGAACCTTTCTTCTTCACTTGGTCACCATTGGACGCCCAAGAGCGTTCTACTAATTAAGTTCTACCCACTTCTTGTTTCGGGAGCCCCAGTGGCAGTTGGCATGGTATTTCATGAACGAGAGGAGATGGGGGAGAAGAACTAAAAATAAATAATTCAAAGCTATGTATCTCACTTCTCTAATTAATTAATTTTGAAATTAAGAGCGAAAACCCAGTACTACACCTCGTTGTGGGTATCGATTTAGAATTTTCTGATCTGCCCCAGTTGTTGTGCTACTTCCTCCATCGTTGGCCTTTCTTCTGGATTCCGTTTGGTGCATCTCAAGGACAGAGCTGCACATGCCAACATTTGGTTTCTGTTCCCCTCTTTCAAGAGACAGGACATCAAAATCAATTCATGAATTGCTTCGTTGGATATCGCATCATCATCCGGTAAACTTATCTCGATCACCCTTTTTCCATTCTTCATCTTAACAGCGAGATTATTGTTCTCTAAATAATTGTCCGAAG